AAGGCAAAATGTTCTTGTTCTTACATAGGAAAAAACAGAGAAGGAAGAAGATCTCTGTCACGAAAGAGTAATCGGGTTGAATTCACTATCATCAGTAAGGAATTTTCTTCTAATTTATAAAGTGTTTACATCGGGGTTTCTCCATCTTGACAACTTTAAGATGTGTGGACCTCAACTCCCAGAATTCCACATGCTAGCTGAGGAATTCTGAGAGTCAGTTCAAAATCTTCATATTTGTCAAGGTTGAGAAATACTGTTCACATCGTTAGAAAGATGCCTAAGAGATTCCTACGACAAAAAACAGTACTTTCAAGAACCTGTGTTCCTTAATTCATTAAATAAAAGTTATTTATTTTATTGTTCTCGAAACAAAAAAGAGACAGAGAAAGAGATTCAAGCAGACCAATTTCTTTTAAAGCAGAAAGCTGAAAGAAATTATGATATTTCACACCTTCACCACATTGGAGCAGGGAGATTTTGGTGCTTCCTCGCCGAGATTCTGTCTCCTTAGAATATCCCTGGAGAGTGAAGGAATATTAGTGGGATATTTTAGGGATATTTCTGTCCCATTATTCAGGCTGTGAAGCTGCCCAGTCTAGATTTCTTCAACCTCCTGATTCCAAGGAGTATTTTCTGAGGAAAGAGAAGAGGTCATCAGTTCCATTCTGCATGAAGGAAAGTCCAACCAAGACCTTTAGTGCAGTTAGATGTGTTGATGGGTGCCAATCAAGATAATCCTGGGACTGCCTGAAGGACATTTGATACTCACTTCTTTTTCCTCTCTGGATCTATCTAGATCCTCCACCAGCTCCCAGTCTTTCTCCAAATCCTTCAGAACCTCTGTATCTGGTTGGGGAGAACATTTCTCTCAGGTGCTCCGATCCCAACAACACTGTTCAAAGCTGGAGAGAGTACCAAATAAGGAAAAATGAGAATGAGACCTCTATAAAGGATCTGGACTGGCATGAAGACAACAACTCCTGGGTCCTCACAGCCACAAGGGAAGATTCTGGATTATATAAATGCCGATACCTAGAGTGGAAATATGGGAGAACCATCCCTTCAGACTGGAGTCGTCCTGTCTCAATTGTGGTGAGAGGTGCGGATTTTTTTTTCTTCATTTTGAAAATATGGATCCCTGTAACTGGGGCTTTTTTTATTTAGAACCTGCATATGAAAGTGTTTCCCTGATGAAATCCCAGAAAGTTTCCACCCTTTCCACAGTGGAGTCCAAGCGCCACCAAGCTAATTCCCCCTTTTCTCTTCTCCAGATCCTCTGCCTCCCCCAGTGTTGAAGCTGCATCCTCCCTCTGGATCCCTGTGGGAAGGCAAAGTCCTCCGCATCCAGTGTTTGCCCAATGAGGGCAATAACACCAACAGGTTCCATTTCTCATGGAAGGGTGTGGAAATGGCCTCCAGCAATGAAGGTCTTCTGAGGAGCAGCAGAGACTCTGGGCTTCTTATTCTAAATAGGTCAGCAGCCTTCCTATATGCCAAAGGCAATGGAGGCCTGGGGCTTGCTTGCAGATATGAGGAAAACATAAATGGGCGCTGGATCATGTCTCCTTGGGGCCAGAATATAACAGGTATGTCTTTTCAGAAGGTGGAGTCATCTGCTGCCTAAACGTGGAAGGAATTGATTTAACCATCCAAGGAAATCTTGCAAAATGATACTTCTCCCTCTTTTCCTTTGCAGTTCTACCAGCCTCATCTGCCCCGTCAGTGGGCTATGCAGCGTTGGCTCTTCTTGTCCTCCTCCTGGGAGCCCCACTGGTTTTCTGCTGCAGCAGGAAGAAGAACGGTAGGTGGGTGAGTCCCAAATTCAAAAGTAGCAGGAACTACCCTGAATCTCAGTCAAGTCGTTAGAGAGGAATCTTCATTGCAGAAATGGTCGAAGCCATTTGGAAGAATAGACCTCCAAGAGGTCCTTCTTCAACACAATGGAGACTACTCTGATAGGCATAGTGGTCCTTCTTGTTGCCTGTCCCACAATTTAATAGACATTTGGCCTTGGGAATCTCAGCCTTGAGATTAGGAGGGTCTTGACTGTTGACATAACGAACATCCCCCTGAGCTAAGAAACTCCAGCTCCCACTGTATCTACCCTCAGTAGTAATTAGGTTGGGGTATTCCCTCTACTGGGCGAAGGTGGCTGAATTGAGAAGAACATATTTGGCTTTAAAGGAGAGTCTTCTCCTCCCAGCCAGAATAGCAGCAGATAGCAGATCTTAGACGGTAAGTATGTTCACCCTGAGTAATAGCTGGATGCGAATATCCAAGATGTTTCTTAGCTGTAGAGTGGGCAGTTTTCAAGAAATAGAATGGACACTGCAGCCCAGTGAAGCTGAGCTTGAGGGTGTATCTATCTTTACTTTTGTTTTTAAGATGATGGAATAACTAGGATGAGCAAGTCATGTTTGTTTATTCCTGGCTTCCTTTTTTTTGCATGGATCTGGAAGCATCAGGATGCCAGCGGAGATCTGAGACTAAAGAGAAGGAGGAAGTCCGATTAAATGATCTTGGATCTGAGGATCTGGATGGGGAGGATTTACAGGTAACCACTTCAAGGATTCTTCCATTCCTGGGCAGGACCGTTTATGAAGAAATTGGGAATCCTGGGCAGTTTCAGAGATATCGTATATCACCCCAAGTTTCCTGGTAGTGAAATTCTGATGGAATAAAAAAACTTTCTAGAGGATTTTAAGAGAGAAGGGAGGGAAGGATTTCCATTCACTAGATCAGTGGTTCTCAACCTTTTTAATGCTGTGACCCCCAACCGGTCGTAAGTCGAGGACTACCCAACTGGTCGTAAGTCGAGGACTTCTGGAGGGAGGGAAGGATTTCCATTCACTAGATTATAAAAGCAGAACCCAAAGAACAATTTTTGAAGAATACCTTCATTTACTTCTTGCCTTGAGTGGCATGGCCCAAAGTCCATTTTGTCTCGAGTAGTCTTGTATTCTACTAATATTTGGTTTTATTGTGAACGAATTGTTGGTTTTCCAACTAGAAAGATTTGGGAGCTATAGTTCAATGCAATATGAAGTTTTGTCTTTGAGAGCATCTTAGGTATTAGGGATTCCTCCTGCCTGGTCATAAGTAAATCAAAGTGGATGGTCATCCTGGTAGAAGTCTCTCCCATGGCAGCTCTCTGGGTGACAGGAGATAGAAGATCTGGGTTGGGCCTGGTGTGGTGTGGTTGCCATTTACACTTGCTGAGGATTCTGGAAGTGTCAGCTAGTTTCCATTTGTAAACACCTTCCAAAATAAACTTTAAAAAGTCTCCTTTATGATGGATTCTGACTGAATTTCAATCTTGTCTTTTCCTGGCTTTCTAGAATTCAGAACTCACCTATGTTTTTGTCAAGAAGTCAGCCACGGTGATCCCTTTGGAACCCAGGACCAAGAATCCTCTGAAGACCCAGGAAGTGGACCAAGTCATATACAGCGATGTCCGGGTTCAAGCAACCAGCAGAACAGCCCACTGACTACTTCTCCAAAGGCCACTTTCAGAAGAGCAGCCTCTTCACCACCAGGAATGGAGGACTTGCTCTGGTTCTGTTGGGGTATTTGGGAATAGACATGCTTGAACCCAGGGTTTCTCAACCTTATCAACTGGAAGATGGATGGACTCCAACTCCCAGAATTCATGGCTGTCTGGTGAATCCTGGGAGTTGAAGTCCACCCATCTTCAAGCTGTCAAGATTGAGAAACACGGGGCATACCTTCGGGAGTACACCGAAATCACTCAGAACTTACAGCCTTGACCTTTTACTCTTCCTAACTAGTAGAAATATTGGCCAATGTCCAGTTACTGACCAGGAATACCGGTCCTGCTTTCCCCTTTTTGTGCTAAATGATTCTTCCTGTCCTTGTTGAAGGAGAAACCAGTGGAGGAGATATAAATCCTGTCAAATAAATAAAAAATGCTGTTGTTGTTGTTCAGTCACCAAACTGTGTCTGACTCTTTGCAATCCCATGGACCATAGCATGCCAGGCCCACCCAAATTTTGCTCCAATTTATGTTTATTCCATCAATGACACCATCTAATAACCTCATCCTCTGCTGTCCCCTTCTCCTTTTGTCTTCCATCTTTCCCAATATCGGAGTCTTTCCCAATGAATCTTTTCTTCTCATTAGGTGGCCAACTATTTGAGCTTCAAAAAATATAAGAGTTTTTTTTTAAATATAAGGGATTCTGCAATTGTTGTTGTTTCTTTCCATGGCAGGGTTGCTGTTCTGTCCCAAAACTGGGTCCCATGGCGCTGGGTCTCCACAGGCATCCTCTCCAATCATGCAGGTCTCCCATTCACAATGTTTGCAATGTTTTCACTGGTCCAAATAGGTAATTTGTATCCCCGGTTTATCAGTGGCATTTTCATCTTTCAAATTACGCAAAGCTTTATGGTTGCTGCTGGTGATTTTCTTCTCTCTAAGCTACTGAGGCCCTTCTAGGCTCCCTGATGGGCTGGTGGCTGGAGCCTCACCCCTTGGAGGGCCATGCACTATGGACTTTGTATTACCTGCAATATGTTTTCTGCACTGGTTAACTCACCTGGGTTCTCTTGTATATTAATTAGCCTTCTTGTTCTCTTCCTTTCAAATGTATTGCTAATCATGGTGGTGGCTGGAACCTCGCCCCTTTGAGGGCCATGCAGTATGGACTATGTAATACCTGGAATATGGTATTTGTAATATCACTGCACTAGTTAACTCACATGGGTTTTCTTGTATTTGAATTAGCCTTCTTTCTCTGCTCCTTTCAAATGTATTGCTAATTATGGTGGTGGCTGGAACCTCATCCACTTTGAGGGCCACACAGTATGGACTTTGTAATACCTGCAATATGGTTTTTGTAGTTCCACGGCACTGGTTAACTCACAGGGGTTCTCTTGCATTTTAACTAGTCTTCTTTCTCTCTTTCTTTCTTTCAAACATATTGCTGATTATTTGCCATCCTCTGGCTATTTTAATTGGGGTCCAGCAAATGGAGGCAGGAGCTCCAGCCAACTTTAGCTATCACCTCAAGCTCTGAACAGGAGGAGGAAGAGGAGGAGGAGGAGGAGCCGAGCGTGGGATTCTGGGAGATGTAGGCTCTACCCGGGAAGAGGGCCTTAGAGTGCAGGGCAGCAGAACTACAGAGCCCAGCATTCCAAGGGAAAAAAAAGGCGGGAAAAATGGACTGAGGGGAGAAAAAACTCTTGGCGTCTGAGGGGAGATGGAGAGAGAGTCTTGTTCTGAGGGGAAAAAATGGCTCTGGCTTTTTGGGAGATTATCTGAATCAAAGCCTCACAAATGCCCCGAGGGGTGTTGGGAGTTTGGGCCAGGCAGGCCGGTCATCAGAGGAGAGGGAGAGAAGGAGCCGGTCATCAGCCAGAGTCTCCTTCGAGGGTGAGTGATACATACGCAGCAGAGGAGGGCTGGGATATTATGGGATGAGAAACTCCTGGAACTGTTTCTGTGGGAAGCTTAAAGGGGCCAAGGTTGAGAAACGCAATCCCAGCTCTCTCACTTTATGTGTGTGTTTTGTGTATGTGGTAGTCTGCATGGCTTCCCTCCATTGCCTACCCTCTGTTGAATTGTGGTGTTCCCTCATTTCAGCATCTGCCTGCCTGCCTGCCTGCCTGCCCTTCTCTCTCATCTATCTATCTATCTATCTATCTATCTATCTATCTATCTATCTATCTATCTATCTCTATCCTCTCTTTTCTATATCCATTCATTCATTCATTCATTCATTCATTCATTCATTCATTCAGTTTCTATGCCACACATCTGCCCTACAAGATGACTGTGGGTGGCTTGAAAGCACTTGGTGAATTTTAAAGATCATTTAAAAAATAACTACTGCTCCACAGAATTTAACATGTGGAACTGAATCCCCATCTGCAGCATCTCTGACGGAAGGAAAATCCAGGCCTTCCCAAGGCCTTCAGTTCCTCTTAGGAATTTTTTTTTTTCCTGTCGTCCAGCCAAAATCTGTTTCCTTGTAATTTCAGCTACGGTAATAATTTCCTGATTTCTGGAAGTGCTTCAAACAATTGGGAAGACACTTGCCATCTCTTCCTGCCTCGTCCTCCAGGCTAAACTTCTGTTGCCGAAGAGGGAGATTCTTTTGCCGAATTCTTTTCTTGAATAAATCTCACTTTAAAGTAACAGGTCGCAAATTTTGACTTTCTTTACAAGTCTAGCCCATTTTATTATCAAGTGATTTAGATTGAGACCGAAACTTTTATTATAAAACAAATACTTCGATGCATACTCTTCTTTCATTTTTCAATTTATTTCAAAGTTATATCTAACTTTGAAGAAAAAGTCAAACAATCATAATATTGGTAACACCAATATCCAAAACTGTAATTAATACTGATAAAATATATATTTTTCTCCTCATATCTATATTCAGTACTCCAAGGAACTTAAATAATAGAATATTAAGCATCTAAGTATATTATATGAACCTCACCATATTGAAATACCATATTGTACCAAATGTATATGTATATATATGTATGTATGTATAATTCTTTTCTCAACCCCCCCACTGTCTCTATCTATCTATCTATCTATCTATCTATCTATCTATCTATCTATCTATCTATCTACAGGATCTATCAATCTAACTATCATCTATCTATCTATCTATCTATCTATCTATCTATCTATCTATCTATCTATCTATCACCTCCATGCACCATTCAACCCATCAAAAAAATGGAAGGAGAAAAAAAGGCAAGGTGGACCTAAGAAAAAGGAAAAACTGTATCTCTGGGAAAATGAGAAAGGGGTTATTAGCCAAGAGACTCAGCTAGTATTCAAAGCAAAATATCCCAAAGGACATTTCCCACGGCTTCAAACAAACATGGACAGGAACAGATCAACAAGGAAAAAGCCTTGGATCTTCTCTCTCACCTGAGAGTCAGAAATGAATCTCCAAAGGATGAAGGCGAGCTCCTATGAGCTGGAGATTCAAGAGAAATTTCAGTGTGGAAAGGGGCCTCTAAACTAGACCTCATGGCAGTTGTTTGTATTAGATCTATCCCGTTTACAGAAAAAAGTTGTTGAAAGCAGTAACAAAAATCTTCCCAGCAGGCTCAAGTCTAGATAGATCTGAGACTTGTAGAAGAGGGTGGGGCCAAAGATTTCCCCCTTTTGGATGGACTTTCTCTTCTGCCATAAACTGAAGTACCTCATCATTTCTTCACAGGTCATGTGCATGTCTGAGCCTAGTAAGAGACTGCACCAAGAGAGTTATCTTATTTTCCTCCAATCAAGTTTATATACAGTGGCCCCTCTTCTTCCTCTTCTCTAAGATGGTTCTTCTGAGTGGAGAAGTCCTGAACATTGCTGTAGGTGGCCTCAGAGTCCGGGGGAAACTAAGGGAAAGAGAGCCCATTGTTCAAACATTCAGTTTGCCTGCAGCTCAAGAACCAATGAAGAACAAGGGATTTCTCCAGCATTTTGCAGCATTTTTAGAAATAAATAAGGTTGATGGTCTTCTAGAAAGATTGCCAAGCCCATCAAAGAACAGAAGGATTGACCTTCGGCATCACACCTGACCCGGTCTGGTTTTCTGATTCTGATGGTGATGAGATACTCCTGAGAAATCCGCAAGGACATTCCTCTAAAACCTTGCCTGCAACACTTGATTAGAGGAATCTTTGATGGCTTCTAAGATACTTAGTTTTCTTAAATATATCTTTCTCTTCGCATTTTTCTGCGAATTTCAAGGCCATTTAATTTTATGGCCAATACATAATTTGTTAGACAGAAAGCCATAAGGAGAATTATTCTTTCCTATTTTTAAAGAAATATCCAGGGGTACTAAAATGCCTAAATTCTTTGATTGAAACGAAGTAAATGAAGAAACGGAGAATAGTTGTTGACAGAGATCAAAACAAATGGGATTATGGGAGGCAAATCCTGCTTGAAGTTAAGATTTAAGTTTTAAGATTTAAGTTCACTATCTACCAACATTGCACCACTATGCTTCAGGCCCTCTAAAGCCCATCTATATCATTCTTGTTTATAGACGACAATAGTTGGGTGATTCCACAGGACACTGTAAGTTATTGGTGAGGATTCCATAAATCTAGTATCACTCTCCAGTGTGATAGACCTTCCCTGTAGACCAGGGGTCTTCAAACTTGGTCCTTTTATGACTTGTGGACTTCAACTTCCAGAATTTCTCAGCCAGGCATGCTGGATAATGAATTCTGGGAGTTGAAGTCCACAAGTCATAAAAGGGCCAAGTTTGAAGACCCCTGCTGTAGACGTTAATTAAAGTCACCCATGAATTCCACCAGCTACCTTGACTGATGAGGGTGTTGCTGCTTGAGGCTCCATCACTGAAAGATGATTTTTCTCTTTCTTTTCCATTAGTTGAAATTGTTCCTGTGATTGAGATGCTTCCATGGCAGCAATAAAAAGGAAAAAAAAAACTATGAAGCTACTTTCCACCATCCTTACCTATCATCTTCCCATCCCTCTCATTTCCAGTTCTGCTTTTCCTTTCCTGCTTCCCCGGAGGATCTCTCGGTCAACATATCCAACTACAAGAGCAACCTCTGATAAGGGAACCCTCGAACCCAAATCCTTCACTTACTGCTCTTTTGCTTCCAGCAATAAAAGGCAATTGGAACCAGCAGAATTAGAAAAAGAATCCATCTCCGGGCATATCTCCAAACAGAATATAAACCTTGGGTCCAAACTGGTTTGACTAGGAAAGAAGGAGGATGATTTCATATTACTTGGCAGAATATTTTTACCCTGTCCTGTTCTTTTTTTAAAAAAAAAAAAGTTTTTATTTTCCATTTTTCAATACATTATAAAAAAAATATATTTTTTAAAATAAATTCATACACATTAGGTGTCGCTCACCCACCTCCCCCCAGACTGCATCCGCCCTCTCTACCTTCCTTCCTTACTTCTCTCTTCCTTCTCTCCTCTCCTCACCTCTCTCTTCCCCTCCTCCCTTCCTCCCAGCCTACTTCCTTCCATCCCTTCCTCCTTCCCACTCATCCCTCTTCGGATACAGTTCAGGGGAAATACCAGAGCGGCACCTCTCTCAAAATTACTCTATCTATTTTATACATTAATGTTTCTATTTGTCTAACCTACTTAAACCCACCCCTCCCCACTTCCCAGAGCAAAATACAGGGTTATTATAAACAAAATAAACAAAATCTACTTAACTTTAAAAAAAAAATTTATACAATAAACAAATTCATACTTAACCCTTAACTCCCTCTAAGCTTTGACATCATAATAATATAAACAAATCCATTATAAATCATTTATTATAAAATTCTATAAATAATAATTGTTATTTCAAACAAAATTAATCATAAAATAAATGGAACTTTTGAGTTCCATATTTATTCTGAATATAATCTATCCATCTTCTCCATACCAAAATATATTTTTCTTGTGTATGATCCTTTAAATAAGCAGAAATCTTTGCCATTTCTGCTAAATTAGAAACCTTAAGTATCCATTCTTCTATAGTAGGCAATGAATCCTTCCAGTATGAACCTACTAATAACCTTGCTGCGGTTATTAAATTCAACATTAAAATAGTTTCATTAACATCTAAATCCATAAAAATACGCAGTAAAAATAATTGAGGAGTGAACTTTATCTTCCTTTTGAAAATCTTTTGAATGTTCCACCAAATCATAATCCAAAAAGCTTTAACATTTTTACAAGTCCACCAAACATGAAAATAAGTTGCATCAGTACTACCACACCTCCAACATTTGGGCTGTAAGTTAGGATACATACAAGACAGTTTTTTAGGATCCAAATGCCACCTATAAAGCATTTTATAAAAAAATTTCCCTCAAATTTTGGGCCTGTGTAAATTTAACATTTCTAATCCAAATAGTCTCCCATACATCCAGTGAAATCGGTTCCTGGATATTCTGAGCCCATTTAATCATGCAATCTTTTACCAACTCTGTTTCCGAATCCAATTTTATTAACTCATTGTAAATTCTTTTAATATGAGCATGATTCTGACCTTTAATCTGAATTACCAAATTTTCATCTCCTAAAGTTATTCCAACTTTCTTATCTACAGTCCACCTATCCACAATTTGTATGTATTGAAACCGTGACTGTAAAATATTTTCTTGTCTTAATACATCTAAAGATTTTAATTGCCACTCAGTACCTGACCAAATTAATAATTCTTTATACGAAATTTTATCAAAATTCATCCCCTTAGAAACTCCCTCAATTACATGTCCAGGAATCCCCCAAATAGGTATTTTATAATTTAACCTATAATAGTACTTCTTCCAAACACGAAGAAAAGTGTTTCTTAAAATATGTGATTTAAAAGCCCGATCTACTTTCTTGTTAAAAATCAAATATGCATGCCAACCATACAATAAATCCCACCCTTCAAGAATAAGCCAATCACTTATCAGAGTTAAGATGGCTGCATCATAATATAATTTCAAATTAGGTGCTTTAAGCCCGCCTCTTTCTCGGGCATCTTGCATAATCTTAAATTTTACCCTTCGTTTCTTCCCAGCACAAATAAATGTACTAATACCCCTTTGCCACTCATCCAGGTTTGCATCTTTCTTCAAAATGGGTAACATTTGAAACAAAAAAAGAAACTTTGGTAGAACATTCATTTTTACCGCTGCTATTCTCCCCAACAACGACAATTGCAACTTTTTCCAATCATTTAAATCCTTTTGTACTTTTGCCCATAATAATTCATAATTATTCTTATATAATTTTCCATTAGAAGCTGTTATATATACTCCCAAATATTTAACCTTTTTCACCATCTGGAAACCTGTAAGTTTAACTAAAATTTCGTTTTCCTTATTAGACATATTCTTAGATAGCATTTTAGTCATTATTATTTACTTTAAAACCAGAAACTTTCCCATACTGAGTTATAAGTTCCAACAAATGACCGACCACTTGAGTCGATTGTGCTAGAGTTAAAACCAAATCATCCGCAAAAGCTCTCGATTTATACTCATTCCTGTTTACTTTTATTCCCTTAAGTACCGTTGACTCTCAAATCTGAATTAACAAAATCTCCATTGTTAAAGCAAATAACAATGGGGATAATGGACATCCTTGTCTTGTTCCCTTTTCAATATTAAAAGTCTCTGTCAATCCCCCATTGATAATAATTTGAGCAGACTGTTGCTGATATATAGCCTTGAGAGCATATAAAAACTTGTCTCTAAAATTCATTTTCTCTATCAATAAAAATAAAAATTTCCAATCTAATTGATCAAAAGCTTTTTCAGCATCTAAAAATATAAAAGCCACAGGAATCTGATTATTCTTGTCCAAATGCTCAATTAAATTAAGAATTTGTCTTACGTTATATTTCATATATCTTCCTGTTATAAATCTTGATTGGTCACTATGAATCAAATCCTTCATAACCTGCATAAATCTATTTGCCAAAATTTTTGAAAAAATCTTATAATCTACATTTGAAAGAGATATGGGTCTATAATTCTTAGGCTCAGTAAGATCTTGATCCTCCTTCGGGATCAATGATATAAATGCACTTCTCCAAGAGGGGCGAACCTGAGCTCCCGACAAAATACTATTAAAAAGCTCCTTTAATGGCTCCATCATCTCCTCAAGTAAAATTTTATACTACATTGCCGTCAATCCATCTATTCCTGGAGACTTTCCCACCTTTAACTGCTTAATAGATAAGCCAATTTCCTCTAAAGTAATTAAGCAATTCATCACATTTTGTTGTCCTGTTCTTGGAAGTTTAGATCAGTGGTTCTCAACGTTTGTGTGACGGCGACCCCCGTCACACAAACGTGCCGCGCATGCATGGCGCCGCGCCCTGAGGGGGGAAAATGGCTGATCGCCTTCTTTGGCGACCCCCGTAAAATGGTCGATCGACCCCAAATGGGGTCACGACCCATAGGTTGAGAACCGCTGGTTTAGATCCTATTTCACCTAAAAATTGAAATACTCACCTCTTATATTAGTCTCATTTTTAAACATTTCATGGTCTTCGTGAAATTTGCTTAGCAATCTCACAAAAGCCATTTGCCTTTCTATAGATCTTTCTTTGGCCTTTCTAGTCTCTATGCTCCAGCACAAGGCCAGTTGCATAAAGACTTAATAAATAGTTAAATCAAATTTTGCAAAGGGTTCCTTCTGCATTTAGGCAGCAGATGACTCCACCTTCTGAAAAGACACACCTGTGATATTCACTATCTGGCTCCAAGGAGACATGATCCAGCGCCCACTTATGTTTTCCTCCCATCTGCAAGCAAGTCCCAGGCTTCCATCGCCTTTGGCACATAGGAAGGCTGATGACATATTTAGAGTAAAAAGCCCAGGGTCTCTGCTGCTCCTCAGAAGACCTTCATTGCTGGAGGCCATTTCCACACCCTTCCATGAGAAATGGAACCTCTTGGTGTTATTGCCCTCATTGGGCAAACACTGGATGCACAGGACTTTGCCTTCCTGCAGGGATCCAGAGGGAGGATGCAGCTTCAACACTGGGGGAGGCAGAGGATCTGGAGAAGAGAAAAATGGGAATTAGCTTGGTGGTGCTTGGATTCCACTGTCTCCAGGGTGGCGCCTTTCTGGGATTTCATCAGGGAAATGCTTTCATATGCAGGCTCTAAATAAATAAAGCCCCAGTTATAGGGATCCACATTTTCAAAATGAAGAAAAAAAAATCCGCACCTCTCACCACTATTGAGACAGGACGACTCCAGTCTGAAGGGATGGTTCTCCCATATTTCTGTTCTAGGTACCGGCATTTATATAATCCAGAATCATCCCTTGTGGCTGTGAGGATCATGGAGTTGTCTTCATATCAATCCAGTTCCTTTATAGAGGTCTCGTTCTCCTTTTTCCTTATTTGGTACTGTCTCCAGCTTTGAACAGTGTTGTTGGGAGCGGAGCACCTGAGAGAAATGTTCTCCCCAACCAGATACAGAGGTTCTGAAGGATCTGCAGAAAGACTGGGAACTGGTGGAGGATCTAGATAGATCCAGAGAGGAAAAAGAAGTGAATATTAAATGTCCTTCAGCCAGTCCCAGGATTATCTTTACTGACACCCATCAAAACAGCTAACTGCACTAAAGGTCTTGGTTGGACTTTCCTTCCTGCAGAATGGAACTGATGACCTCTTCTCTTTCCTCAGAAAACACTCCTTGGAATAGGGAAGTTGAAGAAATCTAGACTGGGCAGCTTCACAGCCTAATAGTTGGGCAGAAGTATCCCTGAAATCTCACTAATATTCCTTCCCTCTCCAGGGATATTCTAAGGAGACAGAATCTCGGCGAGGAAGCACCAAAATCTCCCCACTCCAACATGGTGAAAGTGCAATATCACATTTCCTTCAACTTTCTGCTGAAAAAGAAATTGGTCTGCTTGAACATCTTTCTCTGTCACTTTTTTGTTTCGAGAACAATAAAATAAATATCTTTTACTTAATGAATTAAGGAACACAAATTCTTGAAAGGACTGTTTTTTGTTGTAGGAATCTCTTAGGCATCTTTCTAACGATGTGAACAGTATTTCTCAACCTTGACAAATCTGAAGATTTGGGACTTGACTCCCAGAATTCCTCCGCTAGCATATGAAATTCTGGGAGATGAGGTCCACACATCTTAAAGTTGTCGAGATGGAGAAAACCTCAATGTAAACACTTTATAAATTAGAAGAAAGTTCCTTACTGATGATAGTGAATTCAGCCCGATTACTCTTTTGTGACAAAGAACTTCTTCCTTCCCTGTTTTTTCCCATGTAAGAACAAGAAAACATTTCCTTTGGGGCCATTCGTATTGCC